TTTTTTTTTTTTTTTTTTTTTTTTTTTTTTTTTGGTTGGAGGGAATATAGTTTGGTTTATCCTCCACTATCAGAACTTGATTTTAATTGAGTGGATGCAACAATTGAGGTCAAGGGATGTTGATCTCGAATTCTTTTAGTTTAGTTTTTCACAGTATGAGTAGCTATTAAATTATTTATTGTGAACTATTATATGTTTTGGGGGATTTTAGCAGTTTACCAAACGGGTTTGGTCAAAGTAGAGAGAAAGTAAGAAAAGGGTAGCTGGACGTGGGTGTACTTTCTGTGTATAAATTATAAAGACCTACTCAAGCAAGTTTCTCATCTTTGAATTTTTGTGTAAAGGACAATAAAATTTGATAGAATTAAGTAAAATTTTATATATGCATTGCTATAATATAAAAATATAATATACATTGTAACTCTTATTTTAAAATTCAATATATATAAATATATAAACAACTTTAATTTATAGAAACTTTTAAATATAATAAATTATATATATACATATTTCTCATTAAAAGATTTTTTTTTTTCTTATTTTAAGATGGGCCAAACAACACACCCCTCAACGCGGGGCGTCCTTTCTAGTGAAAATGAAAAGGAATAGGGGAGAGTGGTGGAGCAAGTGCTGAAGGGCGCCTGCCCTTACCTTAGCACTTCTCTTCCAAAAGATATTGTCCGCATCGTTCTTGCTCAGCCGCTCAACACTCGCTACAAAACAAGTTTTCATCCTCTCTCTTCCTATTCAAACCCTAAAAGCACAAGGCCAGTCTCTTTCAAATTAGCCCTAGAAATACAGAGCCCTGTGATTCTTGAAAATCTGTTTTTCTCTTTTCGATCTTGGCCACAAATATCAAAGCATCACAAAATAAAAAGTTTCACATGGATCACTATTGGCTAAAATCAACATTTAGTCCCTCACCTTATAAAATTGATAGGCTTTAGCCCTTAACCTTATAATATGACACTTTTAACCTTTTACCTTGCAAAGTTGATAGGTTTTAATCCCTTACTTTATAAAGTTGGTAGGTTTTAGTCTCTCACCTTATATTATGAAACTTTTAGCTCCTTATCTATACGAATTGAAGAAAATAACCCCTATTTAATATCAAGTTATAATGTCTTATTAGTTTTGTTAGTTGATTGTCAATTTTGTTAGCTGATTGTCAGTTTTGTTAGCTGACTGTTAGTTCTGTTAGTTGACTATTAGCATCCGTTAGCATTCCGTTAGCATTCCGTTAATAGAACTAACAAATAAAATTGAATTTAAATTTTATGTTTTTTATAACAGATATTAACAGTCAACTAATAGAACTAATAGAACGTTAAAACTTGATGTTAGATGAGGGTTATTTTCTTTAATTTGTATCGATGAGAGGTTAAAAATATCATAATATAAAGTAATGAGTTAAAACCTACCAACTTTGTAAGGTGAGAGGCTAAAACTTACTAATTTTGTAAGATAAAAGGTTAAAAGTGTCATATTATAAGATGAGGAGCTAAAACCTACCAATTTTATAAGGTGAGGGGCTAAATGTTGGTTTTTGCCGATCACTATTTACCCTACTCTACCTTTCTCGCCCCTTTCATCTCCTGTCATTTTCCCTTCTCCGCTCATCTTCCCACCCAGATCACTGATCCAGCGATCTATTCTCTTCTTTCTCCCTTTGCACATTTTTCTGCCTTCCTTTCTCTCCCCCCTTCATATTGCTCACCGACATAACCATAGATCTGAGTCCCTTTCCCTTTCCTTCTCACGAGCTTGGGCAAGGACACCCAGATCTGCATGTCCTCGCCATCACGCAGAACCCCTGGTCACAATTAAGAAATTCTATTATTCTAAGTATTTCAAGCCTTTTTTTAAGTGACTGATTTATTTCTCTTGGTTGGTAGTGATCCAAAATCTGATTACGAAGGATGTCATGGGCACAGGGCATGGCAGACCCTCTCAAGTTGATCAGCAAAATGAAGGGGTTGCTTTGCCTTTGAGGTAACCAGAAGTCAAAATATATATCCAATGCCAGCATCAAGCAGTACTGTTTCAGTTCTGTCATTTATAGTTCATGTCTGCTTGCTATTGTCTGGTTTCATTGGCTTCAAGTTATTTTACTAGAATTAGATTTTAGCATTAGGTAACTGCTGCCAAATTTTGAATATAAAAATTTATATTATGATTATTGGTCCAGGACAGACCTGAAGCAGACGGATAGGAAACGGAAGATACGCTGTAAGGATTATATGGACGAGAATTCGAGGTTGCTTCATGAGAAGGCTGTGCTACAGCTAGAGTTCGAAAGACTCAAAACTTTCTGCCCTTCTCCACGAGATCAGAATTTCTCTACTTAGATGCTGGCCGAAAATGTCAGAACTTCTTACTCTGTTATTCTAGTAGAGAAGTAAAAACAGAGAGTAAAGTTGAGAAGCATTTCTCTCTTTGAGGTTCTAGAGATTTGAGAGATTTGAATTTTAATTCGAAGATTATAGTCCATCTGTTTACACCATAAATTGCAAAATTTTAGATTAATGCCACGTGTAAAATTTTTATTGGCTGGAGGAGTTTTGAGCCATGTCAGATTCGGATCCTGGGTCCCATGACAGATCAGCACGTGAGTTGGCAAGATAAGAGAGATAAAGATAATGTTGAGTAATTATCTTTTGAAACAGAAAGAGATAATGGTAGTTGGCAAGATAGGGGAGGATCACATCTAAAAAGGAGATTTTATCTGATAAAGTTCAGGTGGCAAAATCTGAAAGGGGTTTAGACTATGTCAAAGGGTGAGGTGTCCCACTACTCCAACAAACTACCTAGGATTGAGTAACTGCCGGCACAAAGAGGAACAAAAAGGGAACTTCAGCACAGAAGGAGGACACGGCCAGCCTTACTCAAACAACTGCAACTTTTCATACTTTGATTTTCTCTGCACATGCTTCCAGATTTCGATTTTTCAGCACAGATTTCGTATTTCAGCACAGATTCCATTAGAATTAGGTTGTTTTTCCTCATTCTAGTAGACAAATTTATTCCTATATTCAGTTAAAACAATTTTCCTTCATGCAATGAACTTCAATCCTTCAAGTTTATGCAAGGTATTGTTTTCTTTTCATTTGAAATCAATTTAATGTTTATGTTAAGTAGCATTGCTTTAATGATTACTTATGTGGCCTTCATGCTTCTTTCCAAATTCAAGTTTCTTCAATTTATTCACTGTTCACGCAATTTATTCACTGTTCATGTTTAATTTCAGTGCTAATTAGGTTTAAGTTTCCAGATCTGCAGTAATTTAATTTCTGAATTTGTCAATAGATTGCACTTTTAATTTTACCACAAGCATGTTTAATTTAATTTGGGAACATTTCTTTCTCGCAAGTTTATTTTAAATTGCAAGTAATTTAGAATAATTAGGATTTGTTAATTGTAAATCACGGTAGTGTGTTTAAGTCCTTGGAGTTGTCCAAGGCAGATTTCGTAACCCATTCTGCAGGAAGGTATCCCTCCCTTTTGCAAATTGTCTGAAGGCGCAAATTTCATTTTAATCCAATGTTCTTCCCGCCATCTGCGAAGAGGTCGACCGTGAGGAAGGAGAGGGTCGTTGGGAAAGTCCTCCTTTCTTACTTTCAACGAAGTAAGTGGCACGCCCGCATCAGATTTCACACGTGCGAGGCCACTAGAGGATTTTTGAGGAAACAATCCTTTTTTGGCACGCCTGGTGGGACATCATCGTGTCTTACTTACAGTTTTCAGATCCGTTGTTCTTTTTTCCAAGAAAAAGTGCAATTATGCCACCAAAAAGAAACCTTGGGAAGGCTGTCCAGACTTTACAGATTGGGCTTGGTGAAAGCAGTCCAACACACTCAGAAGGAGAGAATGAGTCAATCATTCCACCACCATTGTCACCAATACTTAGGGAGCATTCTTTTATCAATCCTACCTTCAATAAGGGTAGTGAATCTGGAGATGATGTTGCTCAATCTGGTGATTCTCTTGTGAAAGCTGTGTCAGATCAGATTAGCATCATGAGGCACACACTGAT